CTCTTCCATTCCACTGCTTTTTTCACTCCCATTTCCAATCCAGAGCATGTATTTGTACACAAGTAGCATCTTATTGCTGCACACTTTCCTCTGCAGCACTGTTGAGCGCCATACCTGATCTGAGATTAATCAGTTTCTCTGTGAAGTCTGATCAGTAGGAATGTTTAGGGGAGTGCTTCAGAAAGAAATTGCTGATTCTCCAGTAGTACTTCCACAGTCACTCAAATGCTGTGGAGTCAGCCAGGCTACTTAATGCTAAATGAGAGTAGCTCTAAGGCTCTTAATTCAGCCTTTTAAGATTAACATTTTAAGAACTAAAGCTGCATTAAGATTTATCCTGTTGGTGAATGCCTTGTTCATTTTGCCCTTCTTGTGCAAGCAGCTTGCCAATACGACCCTGATTAGATGTAGTGATTTTAGAGTGTGAATTTTTAACTTTTTCTTTTATTAAAATAAAATATTTTTCTACTTTGAGAAATCATTTGTAACTAGAAAAAGAAATAGTGGGACATATATAAACAGTTTTTTGCTACTACTATAAAATCAGTTTGTGACTTACTGCCTTCTTTTATAGCTTGGTGAACTGTTTGGAGTCTGTCACCCACCTTCCTTTAGGAGCCCAGATATCTATCTTTTCAATAGATCTGGCTGAAATCCTTCAGCAGTACTTAGTTGCCCTACCGCCAACTTTCAGCTGCTGCTTCTTATACAAGCTACAGTGGTTTTAACAGAAAGCGAACCCAGGACCCGAGACTACCACATAAATGGCATTTAGGGCCTGTGGGGAGGAGCAGTTTAAAACGATCATTTATTACACACACTTTTGTGACAGTGTTCAAATTTGGCTCTTGGGAAAAAATTAGAATTGTCTGTGACTTCTAATAGCTTGAAACTGAATTGTCTACTGGGATTCAAATGAGCAACAAGATGGATAAGGTAATAATACCTTTTATCGACCAACTTCTTTTGGTGAAAGACAATCTTTTAGACTCACATAGAGCTCTTCTCCAGTTGTGGGAACAGTATAGCTACAACACCACACCTAAGCTGTAGTATATCTGTCCTATATCAAAGAAGTTAAACTGCTTTACTGAGCAGTTAATATTGCTTTTTCCCCCCATCTGTGGTTACTGATTAATTTTTTTAAAAGATTATTATTACAACACTGACTTTTGATATATCATCTTTTTAAAATGAAAAATGTTTGTAGGAAAGAGAAATAATTAGAAAACTTCTACCTTTTTGTAAATGGTAGGTGTTCCTGAACTTTCCACTTGAGAAATTTACAAGCAATATAAGAATGTTTGATTTTACTTTATTCCTTTGTTATAGTTTACTCTTTTGGGTGCATTCTTTTATTAATCCCTCTTTAAAAAAACAAAACAAACAAACAAAAAACCACCCACACCCACACCCACACCCACACCCACACACACACACACCCCACTTGATTGTTAAGACTGCAAAATTACATTATCAGAATTCTGGGATTACCTGAGTTCCATACTCAGTTGTGACTTGAGCAAAAGGCTAATGTGCATTGTGATAATCCTTAATTGCATGATTGTGTACTCTAACTTCTGCAGAACCCATGCTATGTCAGTATGCAAGTTGGATGGATTTGAGAGTTCATGTTTTCCTCCCTTTCTCCCCCTTATTTTTCAGGATATTAAATGTTTTTCGACACTGGGTAGAACATCATTTTTATGATTTTGAAAGAGATCTGGAGTTGCTTGATAAATTGGAGACATTTATTGCAAGCGTAAGAGGTACGGTAATTGTCACTGTCCATTTGTTCCTTTTACTTTCCAATACATTATGGAGATCTAATCCTGCCACCTCTTACACACATGAGTAACTTTACTCACATGAGCAGTTCTGTTTACTCAGTGGAAGTCAAATCTCACGTGCATAAACATAAAAAGATTGAGTCTTAAAACCATATAATTTCAAACGTGACTGTTTTATCAAAGTTTATTTAGTTATAAATATGTAAAGGTTGTCATAGTCTGAAACTAGCATTGTGTGTCTAGAATTCTAAACATGTTTAGCCTTGGAAGGATTAGCTTATTGGTAAATATTGATAAATGTGTTTTCCTCGGGGATATACAAACAACATAAGAATATAAGAACGGCCGTACTGGGTCAGACCAAAGGTCCATCTAGCCCAGTATCCTGCCTGCTGACAGTGGCCAGCACCAGGTGCGCCAGAGAGGGTGGACCAAAGACAATGATCAAATGATTTGTCTCCTGCCATCCCTCTCCAGCCTCTGAGAGACAGAGGCCAAGGACACCATTTTATCCCCTGGCTAATAGCCTTTTATGGACCTAACCTCCATGAAATTATCTAGCTTCTCTTTAAACTCTATTATAGTCCTAGCCTTCACAGCCTCCTCTGGCAAGGAGTTCCCCAGGTTGACTACACGCTGTGTGAAGAAGAACTTTCTTTTATTAGTTTTAAATCTGCTCCCCATTAATTTCATTTGGTGTCCTCTAGTTCTTCTATTTAGGGAACTAATAAATAACTTTTCTTTATTCGCCCTCTCCACACCACTCATGATTTTATATACCTCTATCATATCCCCCCTCAGTCTCCTCTTTTCTAAACTGAAAAGTCCCAGTCTCTTTAACCTCTCCTCATATGGGACCCGTTCCAAACCCCTAAACATTTTAGTTGCCCTTTTCTGAACCCTTTCCAAGGGCAAAATATCTTTTTTGAGGTGAGGAGCCCACATCTGTACATAGTATTCAAGATGTGGGCGTACCATAGTTTTATACAGGGGCAGTAAGATATTCTGGGTCTTATTTTCTATCCCTTTCTTAATAATTCCTAAATGAAAACTATTTCCAGAGATGATGATCGAAATTTACAGATGGGCAAGTTAAATGTCTAAGTATATTTACTACTTATATTTTGATGTGATATTGACAATGTGTTTTTAATGGGTATAAAACTTAAACTCTTTGAATCTCGATGTCTGCTGTGATTAAACAATTGTCTAATTCCCTTAATTTTCTAAAATTAAAAATTTGATAAAAAATAAAAAAACCTTAGTTTAAAAATAATTTTCACCTTTTTGTTCCTAGAGCAAATCTTTCCTTTATGAGAGGATAAATTTCTTCCCTGCTAGAACACTGATCCTTTCCCATTTTACTATTCCTATACTGAAGACCCTCCTCAAAAACCATTACTATTCCGAGAGAGGAGAACTGAACAGTAACACCCTTTCGCTTCAATTAGTGATATTGTTGAGCAATGTGATAACCTTCTCTGAGACACTTGCCGTCCATTTGAAGAGCAGCATTCATGCCACCTCAATCTAGATCACTTCTTGGCAATTCTGGATGTCACTTTCAGGTTACCAAATTAACCATCCTGCAGTACATTTATGAATTAAAAATACATCTCGTTGTTGATTTCCTGTTGGTTGCACACGGTGTAAGATTTTTCTGAGTAAAGATAGACACTTTTTGTCCAGTTCCTCGAAAGGATTTTGATTTTAAATCCCTGGTGTAAAGACTCACTGGTCCAGAGACATATTTTATGAATTGTACATTTATTAAACAGTCTTTAAGAGTTCAAAAGTAAAATGTTGTGCTGTAGAGGTAACAGGTCACTTCACCTTGAACGGGCTCTTATAATAGGTGTTAACTGCTTATTCTTAAACAGTCTCGTATGTAGCTGTAAAACAGAGGGTCTGCCTACACTTAAAACTCTGCAACAATACCTTTGTAGCACTTGAGTGAGGAAGCTACCTACACTGACAAGCGGGGTTTTCCCACTGGCATAGGTAATCCACTTCCCCAAGAGGCAGTAGGTAGGTTGAATTCTCCCCTTGACTTCATACTGTCTACATTAGGAAGTTAGATCAGTTTAACTGTGTTGCTCAGGGATCTTGATTTTCACACCCGGAGTGACACTTACACAGACCTAATTTCCCAGTGTAGACCAGATATGAGTGCCTTTCGCAGACCTGAAAAAGAGCTCCACGTAACTCAAAATCTTGTTTCTCTCACCAGCAGAATTTGACCCCAAAAAAATATTACCTCTCCACCATGTTTCTTTAATTAACAAACATAAACTAATCATACAACTGTAAACTCTAGCAAATAGGGCCAGACTCTTAAAAGTAAAGGACAAAGCAGGTGCACCCAAAAAGTACACTCTTTGTGCCTGTATTTTCATACAGAAATGAGTAACGGAATGCTTAACCTTTGCACATGTGGTCTCTTGATTCACATACACAAATGTAGCCTTTGGTGAATGCACACAAATTTTGTTAAAAAAATAATTTGCCCCGTGATCTTGAATTTTTCTATCCCATTCTGTACAACTTATATGAATCTCTCGGTGTTTTCCTTAAGTACTGAATGCTAAGTTTATTTCATATCACTTTATTACTTAAGCAGAAGTGGACATCTAGCAAAATTACAGGTGAAAAAGCTTGTTAAGTCATTAGTATGAATGTTTTTAATTGTTGTTTTACAGGCAAATCCATGAAGAAGTGGGTAGAATCCATTGCTAAAATTATCAAGAGAAAAAAACAAGCTCAAGCAAATGGAGTTAGCCATAACATTACTTTTGAGAGCCACCCTCCCCCAATTGAATGGCATATTTGCCACCTGGGACAGTTTGAGATGGACCTGATGACCCTACATCCAATAGAAATTGCTCGTCAACTGACACTTCTGGAATCTGATCTCTATAGGTAGATATTCAAAAAATGTGTGTGCTTGTTTAGTAGCTTTTTGTTGGCTCCATAAGTCACATTATTTGAACTATTCCGAAGCATTAATTTCCTTTTCTGACAGAAGAAAACTAGCAAGATTAATATGGAAATGTAAAAGTGTGTTGCTTTTGTTTGTAAACAATAAGATGCTGGTTGCCATATGTAATCCCACTTTAAAGGTTTATAATAAGAAATAAGATAATGTGATTGCAGAGAACATTATCATCTACCCTATATTTCATCTTGATTTGTAAATGAAGTATTGAGTTAATTAAATTGCATTTGGCTTTAGCAAGAACAAATTCTTCAGTTTGTAAATTCAGTCTGAAATGTATTAGTGTTTTTATGATTTGCCAAGTAAAACCATTCTGTCCACTTCCAAAGTACTTATTCATTAATTTACTAGATTTGTGTCAACATACCAAACTTATACAGTAAATAATTAGCACTCTATAAATACTGTGATAAGTAGACATTAAAATCTCAGCCACATGTGAATTTTAAAAATAAAAGATTGGGTGTATTTTATAAAAGATTATAGCATCTAAAAAACCCACACTGTGTTCTGACAGGGTCCTCATAAAAACTAAGATCTTTAAACTGGGATTTCTGGAAGGTTTGCATTATTCAGTGGCAGAGAATTTCTAATAAATTATGTCTCTTTGTGCACCTGGCTTTTGCAGTTGTAGATTCCCATTTCAGAAACACATTGCTTGTATTTAACCAATAGATGACTTGAAGTTTTTTGTCCAAGTTGCTTGTTTCCTCCTTCAGAAGACAAAACTGAGTCCTTAATAATTTTCTGATATGAAAATGAAATATGAAAATATATCACCAATGTTCTTCTTAGTAGACACTGGCATTTTCCAGAGTCCATTAGTGTCTGTGTTAAAATTAAAATACAGCTCCAATAATTATGTTGAATGAATGGCTGTTCCGTAATAGATTCTGTTGAATAATCTGTATCAAATGTCAAATCACAAATAAGGGGAAGAAATATGGAAGAAGTCTTCTAACACAAACATAGAACATATGACTATTAAGTATTAAACATTACTTTCCTTCATTCTTAACATTTTCTTTCAATAGAGCAGTGCAGCCATCTGAACTTGTTGGGAGTGTGTGGACTAAAGATGATAAGGAAATCAACTCCCCAAATCTATTGAAAATGATTCGACACACTACAAATCTTACTCTTTGGTTTGAAAAGTAAGTATGGGTGTTAATGTTCTGATATGGAATCAAGTTAAAGATCAGGGATTGCTCTGATTTTGGTATAATTTAAAGGAGATGACGACTTATTTTATTTTGAATAATAAAATAGCTGTAGTGTATTTCCGTGTAATAATTATGTTTAAGCTCTGACACTGTGCTTGGCACAGTATAGGACACAACCAAAATCTTCAAGGCAACCTACTCCTTTTAAGTTTTAAACTGCTTATTTTAGGGAAAATCTTGAGAAGCTTTCCATGTGTAGCCACAGACTTTCACATCTTAATGTACTACTCATATCAGAATATCATTTCAGTTTCAGAATATATATATATTAATCGTAAAACAGTATATTTCAGTGCCCAGCAAACTTAATTTTTTGTGCCGACATTTCCTAACGTCATGTTTCTTGACTAGGTGCATTGTGGAAACAGAGAATTTTGAAGAGCGAGTGGCTGTGTTAAGTAGGATTATAGAAGTCCTTCAGGTTTTTCAAGAGCTGAATAATTTCAATGGTGTGTTGGAGATAGTCAGTGCAATGAATTCTGTGTCAGTGTACAGACTAGATCATACATTTGAGGTAAGTCTTCCAAGTGACTTACATCCTTCTTAAAAAAGACTAACCAGAATCAAGAAAAACAGATCATACACAGTCTTTTGTATAAACACTATTATTTTACTTTCTTTATAAACATAATGTGCATTGTAATACTTGAGAGGTTTGTTATCAAAAGTAGCAAACAAAAAGTGTTGGGCAGCACAAGGATTTGGAGTCTTTCATCTGTAGTTTGCCATCTCATATCCCGGCATATCCAATCATCTAGGCTGTAAGAAGAGATAAGTTTGGTAACTAGGGCCCAAATAATTTAATTCTTCATATGTCAAAACAAATACCTTGGGAGCTACAGAATAGTGGTAGAAATGTAGCCGTGTTAGTCTGGTGCAGCTGAAACAAAAAACAGGACTGTGTAGCACTTTAAAGACTAAACCATCTTGTTAGTCTTTAAAGTGCTACCCAGTCCTGTTTTTTGGGAGCTACAGAATTCCATGTAGGGGGCGGGGAATAGAAACTGTCAGAGATATAGATTATCCCTTTCTCCTTTTTGTTGCTGACCAAAGAAGATCCATGCATAGGTTTGGACATTTACAGAGTCATTAATACTCCCAAAAGAACTTAAGCAACTGCTATCAAGGAAAGCATTTTTTAAGCTTTGCTTTCCCAAATAGGGATACTTTCCTGGATCTTGGTCAGAATGAATGTACAAGAATCTGAGGCCAGTTTTAGCAGATTCTGGAGAAAGAAGTTAAAACATTGGGGAACATTGGTGAGTTTAGGAGGAAAAAGTCAAAACTTACTTTTTCACTGAAAACGAGTGTGCAGTAAACCATTAATAAATTCAACTGAAGTAGACTATTGAAGTTCTGAAGTTAGTTTTGCATTGTGAGAATAGAGTTTGTATAGAAAAATATCTGTGCTAGATGCTGATAACTGAGTTTGGTTTGATTAGCTTTGAAATAAATCATACTTAGAACAGTTCTAATTATTTCTGTAAATTATTTTGTAAAAATAATCATCTGTATTTATAGAAGTTTGACACTTCTATGCGATGCATCTTAGGGCAATGTTTACACTGCTGGTGTAGTCCCTTGCTACAGAAGCAATATCTGCTGCTGCTGGCAGATGTCCTCTTTTGCGAACATAATTGTGTGTACACTGGGTGTGTGTTTTTTTTGGGGGGGGGGGGGGGTGTTGTTTTTTGTTTTGTTTTTGTTTTTTTGTGTGTGTTTGTTTTGTCAGCTTAGCTATATTGGGTGACTTTTTTACATAGCTGTTCCAGTATAAGTTTTAAGCTGTGGAGTTAGGGACAGTTGATGTAGTAGTACATTGGAAACCATTTTAAAATTAATTTAAATTCAAATATTGTGAAACCTAGGGTTTTGTTAATTTTTAGTTAGAGAATACAAATATTGAAGGTACAGTAAAACTCCAATAGTCCGGCATCCAATTGTATGGCACTCCTGATAGTCCGGCATCAAAATGGCAAGAGCCTACCTAGTGAGGGTACGTCTAGATTACAGGCTTTTGTCGACAGAAGTTTTGTCGACAAAGAGCATCTACACTACATTGAGTTCTGTCGACAAAGCAAGCTGCTTTGTCGACATGGTAGTGTGGACGCAAAGGACAGTTTACATGCAGTAACACCTTCTGTCGACAAACTCTGTTGACAGAAGGCGTTATGCCTCGTAAAATGAGGTTTACCAGCGTCGACAAAACTGCTGAGTTTTTGTCGACGTTATGTCGACAGAACTCAGCGGTAGTGTGGACGCAGGTATAGTTTTGTCGACAAAAGTCCACTTTTGTCGACAAAACCCTGTAGTCTAGACACACCGAGTGAGCTTCAGCAGAAAACGAGTCAAGGCAGCAGCTGAACCGAGCAAAAACGGTTAAAAAAACCTAAAACGTTACAGTATATTGTATACAGTATGTGCAATAAAAAGGGTTAAAAACACTTTATATACAGTATATACTGTATATAGTGTGTGTATATCTATATATATAAATAAAAAAACAGTTTATAGTACCTTCTGATAGTCCGGCATATCCAATAATCTGGCACCACCTAGGTCCCAAAGGTTCTGGATTATTGGAAGTCTACTGTACTTTATTTTCACTAAGCAAACCATACAAAAGGTACATTGTTGCTTTATTTTTCTCTCCAATAAAATAGGCATTACAGGAGAGGAAAAAAAAAGTTTTGGATGAAGCAGTAGAACTAAGTCAAGATCACTTTAAGAAATACCTAGCTAAACTCAAGTCAATCAACCCACCCTGTGTGCCTTTTTTTGGTAAGTTGTACTACAACGTAGAATTAAGGTTCTTCATGATGCACTTGTGTTAACCTTAAAACGAGCAGCAAATTAAGATGCTGCAAATGCACTGAGGTTTTCTAAAGTATTATTTTGTATTCTGAAGAATTGTCCTTGTGCTATGCATAACTTTTGATTGATTAGATTGCTAGTGTTTGTGAATACAGGCACCCCCTCAATTACGAATATCTATCCTTACAAACAAAAGCTCACTTGCAGCCCTAGGCAGGGACGTCCTTAGGATTTATGAGGCCCTACTCAGTACTGTTAAACTGGTGCCCTTGTGCCCAACGGCGAGGGGGGAGAATGCAGCACTTTGAAGGGGAAACTACCACCGCTTCTCTCCAGCTGTCAGCTGCACCCCTTCTCCTCCGGAATCCACCAGCCTACACTTGGGCTGCTTGCTGTCTGCTGGTGAGCAGGGCCTGGGTGCAGCCCACAAGGAGGGAGGAGCTAAATGGGCTGGGGTTGGCTGCAGAAGCCAGTGTGACAGCTGGAGGATACCCAGAAGTACCCTTCAGAATCTCCACCTACCTCTTCATCTCAAACCTGCCTTTCCTCAAACAACAGCATTCAAGGTTAAGTAGTTTATTTCTGCTATTTTCATTGCAGATATACAGTATGTCAGCTACAGTAAGAGTTACATAGGCTTTTATGAGCTAGCCTGGGAACCTGTCATTTATAACATTGTTTCTATAGGAAAATGCGTTCTGAGTTCCAAACAACCTACTTACAAACAAACTTTTGGAACACCACCTGTTCATAAGTTCAGGACTTCCTGTAGTTAAATCCAGCAGCACAGTCTTTGTATTTGTGTATAAATTCTAGATGTCTTTTGGTACACTATAAACACCTTGCATTTTCCAGAACAGTTTTGTAGAGGCTATGATTTTTGTTCTTTTTTGCTAGTTACTTACCTCAAAAGCTTTAGCATTCCTTTGCAATACATTTTCTATAAATGTTGTGTCCTTCCAGTTTTAGAAGGTCACTCAATATTGCCTTTATATGCAGACTCAAGATCCAGTGGAGAAAAGGATTTCTCATAAATTTTATCTGGCATTCTTGACACTCTTCCTTTCATGGTGACCTAAGCATGCTAAAAAGTCTTGTTTGGTTGTGACCTCTAGCCCATGACCTACTATAACCAGATAAAACTTGTTCTCAATAATATATTTAATTTTCAGAGAGAAGGCATAACTCATTTGCTCTTTCTGATTCATCCAGTACTGGTGCATTGATAGAAATGGCTTACTCTCTTTTATGTCGAGGATTTGATTTTTTTTTTTTTTTGGCTGGCATTTATCGGGGAAAAAAATGAAAACAGGAGTTGGGGTGAAATGTGAAAATCAATTTTTTTTAAATTAGGTATCTATCTAACAAATATTCTGAAGACAGAAGAAGGGAAACCTGTCACCATGATCAAATTCAGCAAGAGGAGAAAAGTGGCTGAAATTACAGGGGAAATTCAGCAGTATCAAAACCAACCTTACTGTTTACAGATAGAACCAGAAATACGGGTAATGAAAGAAAAAATACAATATGCATATACTGTATGTACATGGGTGCATGTATGTGTATACATATGATAACAGATAAGTAGCAGATACTCCACTGATATTCTTGCTGGGGTACTAGTAGATGTGGGTGTGTCTGCCTTAAAAGTGCAATAACCATAATTGGTACAGAGGGTACATCAAGGCGTTAATTCCAAATCCTTACTATGTATTTGATCATTTGTCTCCTCTGCTCACTCTTATATAACAGATACTGGCCCTGCAGGGATCCTTACTGCTGGCCCTCCAATGGGACTTTCTGGCCGGACCACGGATGTTGCCAGACCAGAAAATTCCAATTAAGGGAGTTTCAACCTGTAGGAAAAGCCCCCTGCTTCAGTTGCCACTCATGCCATTTCCCCTGCTGCGCCTCTACATCCTCTAACTCCCCCTCCGCCTCCTCCCCCCACACACACAGAGTGACGGTGCTGGAGGGAACCGTCTTTTAAGTCGTTTTCTCCCCAGCACTGACTCCTGCTCCCCCTTCCTTTTCTGCCTCTGATACAGAAGCAGGAAGGGGGAGGAAGCGACTAGTCTAGTAGTGACTTGACTACCTGATAAGCCTAGGCTAGTCACTTACATCCCTAGTGTTAAATATAGTCATGAATTGTAAAGAGGATGTACAGTTAAGGATTGTGGATTGAGAATTGTGCTGCTGACACAGAATTAGATTAACCTAAGACTAGAGAATACTGAAGAACTCCAGAAAGCCTGAAAGCTCAGTGAATGGGCTGTGTGATGTCAGATGAAATTGCTGTTGACAAATGTAAGGGAATGCTCATGGTAAGGAATAATTTAAATGACTTCCACACAGAGCTGGGTTGCTCAGTAATTCTAACTAGTCAGTTACTTAGCTATACCCACCTGGGTTGCTTTGGGGACAAAAACAAATATGTCTGCTCAGCACATGGCAAAGAAGCAACAAAATGTTGGGCTGCATAGGGAATGAGAAAAATACTGAAAATATCAAAATGCCATTATTGAAATCACTGTTATGCTCTCGCCTGAAATAATGTGTTCAGTCAGGTCTGGTCACTCCTGAAACAGCAGCTGAGTGGCAACATTATTTTGTGCTGTTCGTTATTAAGGACAACTCTGGAAAAGGGTTCAGTGACATAATTGTTCTTGGTTTGTCTGTATGTTGAAATTTACATTTACTGATAAAAATGTAATCCTTCCAAGCCTAATTATCAATACAGGCAGTCCCCGGGTTACGTACAAGATAGGGACGATAGGTTTCTTCTTAAGTTGAATTTGTATGTAAGTCGGAACTGGCTCCAGATTCAGCCGCTGCTGCTGAAACTGACCAGGGGCTGACTACAGGAAGCTGGAGGCAGAATTGCTCTGCTCCCAGCTTCCTGGAATCAGCCACTGATCAGTTTCAACAGCGGCTGAATCTCGAGCCTGGGACAGAACAGCTGGGGGGCTGGCGGGGAGGGCCCCGGACCAACCCGGCAGCACCCCAGCTGCTCTACCCCAGGGGTCCCGCGCCTCTGAGGCTTTGCTCCGGGTGTCCCTGGTCTGCTGGAGACGGTCCCCAGCAGACCAGAGGCACTGGGAGCAAAGCGGCAGTGGCGGCAGGGTGCCGCGCCTCTGAGGCTTTGCTGTGGCAAAGCCTCAGAGGCACGGGACCCCGCCGCCGCTGCGGCTTTGCTCCAGGTGTCCCTGGTCTGCTGGAGACGGTCCCCAGCAGACATGGGGCACCCAGAGCAGCTTTTCTCGCCCCAGAGGTCGAGGTGGTGGGACCGCTGCGCTCTGGGCGGTCCCGCTGCCTGCGAGCTCCGGGGCGAGAGAGCCCCGTTCGTAAGTGCGGATCCGACATAAGTCGGATCCGCGTAACTCGGGGACTGCCTGTAACTTGTATGGTTTTTACTGTCATTTGTGTCAGTACTTGTTCCTGTATTTTTTCTAAGAATAAGTTAACAGTAGAATAAAAGCTGTTGTTTAGCCAGTGAAATGTTGAGACTTCTTGAACAGTTTTGTATTTTCTGCATATGTATATAGAAGAGAATATAAAATTATTTATTGAAACTTGTCTATCTCATTTTAGCGGTTCTTTGAAAATCTCAATCCTATGGGAAATGCACCAGAAAAAGAGTTTACAGACTATTTGTTCAACAAATCATTAGAAATTGAACCTCGAAACTGCAAGCAGCCACCTAGATTTGTAAGACTTGTGTATTTTCTTCTACTTTTTTAAGATGACTACTACTTTAATGAATGAATATGAATAACCATAATTTATATTTAGTTTCTTTAAAATTATCATAGAATCATAGAATATTAGGACTGGAAGGGACCTCGAGAGGTTATCGAGTGCAGTCCCCTGCCCTCATGACAGGACCCAGTACTGTCTAGACCAGTGTTTCTCAACCTTTTTTTGCTCATGGCCCCCTTCTGAGCCTTGTTTACCTCTGTGGCCCCCCTTATAGCTGCAGTTAGTTGGAAAAAAAGGAACATAATTTACCTAATGTTCCTTTTTTTCCATGTGGCCCCGTAGAGGTAGGGCGTGGCCCCTGGGGAGCCATATGGCCCGTGGTTGAGAACCACTGATCTAGACCATCCCTGATAGACATTTATCTAACCTACTCTTAAATATCTCCAGAGATAGAGATTCCACAACCACCCTAGGCAATTTATTCCAGTGTTTAACCACCCTGACTTCTAGGAACTTTTTCCTAATGTCCAACCTAAACCTCCCTTGCTGCAGTTTAAGCCCATTGCTTCTTGTTCTATCCTCAGAGGCCAGGAAGAACAAGTTGTCTCCCTCCTCCTTGTGACACTCTTTTAGATAACTGAAAACCGCTATCATGTCCCCTCTCAATCTTCTCTTTTCCAAACTAAACAAGCCCAATTCTTTCAATTTTCCTTCATAGCTCATGTTCTCTAGACCTTTAATCATTCTTGTTGCTCTTCTCTGGACCATGTCCAATTTCTCCACATCTTTCTTGAAATGTGGCACCCAGAACTGGACACAATACTCCAACTGAGGCCTAATCAGCACAGAGTAGAGCAGAAGAATGACTTCTCGTGTCTTGCTCACAACACACCTGTTAATGCAGCCCAGAATCATGTTTGCTTGTTTTGCAACAGTGTCACACTGTTGACTCATATTTAGCTTGTGGTCCACTATAACCCCTAGATCCCTTTCTGCTGTACTCCTTCCTAAACAGTCGCTTCCCATTCTGTATGTATGAAACTGATTGTTCCTTCCTAAGTGGAGCACTTTGCATTTGTCCTTATTAAATGACATCCTGTGTACCTCAGATCATTTCTCCAATTTGTCCAGATCATTTTGAATTATGACCCCATCTTCCAAAGCAGTTGCAACCCCTCCACACTTGGTGTCATCTGCAGACTTAATAAGCGTACTCTGTATGCCAGCATCTAAATCGTTGATGAAGATATTGAAGAGAGCTGGTCCCAAAATAGACCCCTGCGGAACCCCGCTTGTTACTCCTCTCCAGCAGGATTGGGGCGAGGAGTCCTGTGGCACCTTATAGACTAACTGAAGTGTAGGAGCATAAGCTTTCGTGGGCAAAGACCCACTTCGTCAGATGCATCTGACAAAGTGGGTCTTTGCCCACGAAAGCTTATGCTCCTACACTTCAGTTAGTCTATAAGGTGCCACAGGACTCCTCGCCGCTTTTGCAGATTCAGACTAACACGGCGACCCCTCTGATACTTGACGTCCAGCAGGATTGTGAACCATTAATAACTACTCTCTGGGAACGGTTATCCAGCCAGTTATGCATCCACCTTATAGTAGTCCCAAATAGTTGTATTTGCTTAGTTTATTGATAAGAATATCATGCGAGACCATATCATATGCCTTACTAAAGTCTAGGTATACCCCATCCACCGCTTCTCCCTTATCCACAAGACTCGTTATCCTATCAAAGGAAGCTATCAGATTGTTTTGACATGATTTGTTCTTTACAAATCCATGCTGGCTGTTCCCTATCACCTTATTATCTTCCAAGTGATTGCAGATGATTTCCTTAATTACGTGCTCCATTATCTTTCCTGGCACAGAAGTTAAACTGATTGGTCTGTAGTTTCCTGGGTTGTTTTTATTTCCCTTTTTGTAGATGGGCACTATATTTCCTCTTTTCCAATCTTCTGGAATCTCTTGTGTCTTCCATGATTTTCCAAAGATGATAGCTGAAGGCTCAGATACCTCCTCTATCAGCTCCTTAAGTATTCTAGGATGCATTTCATCAGGCCCTGGTGACTTGCAGACACTTAACTTTTCTAAGTGATTTTTAACTTGTTCTTTTTTTATTTTATCTTCTAAACCTTCCCCCTTCCCTCTAGCATTCACTATGTCAGGCATTTCTTCATCAGATTTCTTGGTCTGACCTTTTATTCCAAAACTGTTCGATTATTTTTTTGTTTGGGAGATGGTTTTAGATCCTAAAAATACACCTCTTTTGGCTTTTATATAGGTATATTGTGTTTTACGATAAAAACTTAGACTTTAAAAGCTATTCTTTCTGAGTTGATGCAGTGTAGTTCTTCTCATTAGAACTTGTAAAAAGGCTTGATAGCCTAATAAAACCCTGTTCATTTCCGGATGTGGAAAAAACTGCATAAAGAAAGGAGAGACCTTTACAAGAGCATTTTGAAATAAATATTAACTGGTGTATATTTCTCTGATATTGAGGGCTATTTTCAGAATAAAGTTCACTTTCAGAGCTAAATGGAAATTCTCACTTCAGTGCTGGACTGAAATATACCACACAATTTAAAGTGAGGTACAGTCTTATAAGTCAGATGTAGCTGATTTACTTTTATCATTTTAGTTACTTTAAAAAATAAAATGTTAACAGCTGTGGAAGAATGAAGTGACTTCACCCAAAACTTGTCCCCAAAGCAAAATAAATTTCACATGAATCATCCTATCCACTTACTGGTATTGTTCCCCAAACCTTTTGCTTCCTGTGAGGAGAGAAGACTTCACTCTATGGACATTAAGCTCTGATGTTCTACCTGCAAAAGATTAAATCAATTACAAAATCATCAAGCCTATTTGTTGTAGCAGAAGAGCCATGAGGGCAGACATCTTCTCAGAGGCTCTGAGTGAATTTTAGGAATAATTAAAGGGATAAAGAATAAGACAGAGACTGTCTTATTGCTTCTCTATAAATCCATGGTATGCCCACATCTTGAATATTGCATGCAGATGTGGTTACCTCATCTCAAAAAAGATCTCTCTGCATTGGAGACAGTTCAGAAAAGGGCAACAAAAATTATTAGAGTTTTGGAATTGTTGCCATATGAGGAGAGAGTGATAAAATTAGGACTTTTCCTCTTAGAAAGGGGGAATATGATAGAGATCTATAAAATCATGACCGGATGCCACCCCAGACCCCTCGTAGCCCCCCCCTTACGATAGTCAGGCTCTGCCCCAGGCGTCCCCAAGAGCAGCTGGGGGGCTGCCGGGTTGGTCCCGCAGCCCCAAGGGGCAGCGCTACCAGACCAACCCGGCAGGACCCCAGCTGCTCTGCTCCCGGCTTCCCCGATTCAGCTGCTGGTCAGTTTCAGCAGCAGCTGAATCAGGGATGCCTGCAATAGAGCAGCTGGGGTGCTGCCGGGTTGGTCCCGCAGCCCCAAGGGGCAGCGCTACCAGACCAACCCGGCAGGACCCCAGCTGCTCTGCTCCCGGCTTCCCCGATTCAGCTGCTGGTCAGTTTCAGCAGCAGCTGAATCAGGGATGCCTGCAATAGAGCAGCTGGGGTGCTGCCGGGTTGGTCCCGCAGCCCCAAGGGGCAGCGCTACCAGACCAACCCGGCAGGACCCCAGCTGCTCTGCTCCCGGCTTCCCCGATTCAGCTGCTGGTCAGTTTCAGCAGCAGCTGAATCAGGGATGCCTGCAATAGAGCAGCTGGGGTGCTGCCGGGTTGGTCCCGCAGCCCCAAGGGGCAGCGCTACCAGACCAACCCGGCAGGACCCCAGCTGCTCTGCTCCCGGCTTCCCCGATTCAGCTGCTGGTCAGTTTCAGCAGCAGCTGAATCAGGGATGCCTGCAATAGAGCAGCTGGGGTGCTGCCGGGTTGGTCCCGCAGCCCCAAGGGGCAGCGCTACCAGACCAACCCGGCAGGACCCCAGCTGCTCTGCTCCCGGCTTCCCCGATTCAGCTGCTGGTCAGTTTCAGCAGCAGCTGAATCAGGGATGCCTGCAATAGAGCAGCTGGGGTGCTGCCGGGTTGGTCCCGCAGCCCCAAGGGGCAGCGCTACCAGACCAACCCGGCAGGACCCCAGCTGCTCTGCTCCCGGCTTCCCCGATTCAGCTGCTGGTCAGTTTCAGCAGCAGCTGAATCAGGGATGCCTGCAATAGAGCAGCTGGGGTGCTGCCGGGTTGGTCCCGCAGCCCCAAGGGGCAGCGCTACCAGACCAACCCGGCAGGACCCCAGCTGCTCTGCTCCCGGCTTCCCCGATTCAGCTGCTGGTCAGTTTCAGCAGCAGCTGAATGGGGGAAGCCTGTCTGGCTGCCCCAGCACTTCCGGGTTCCTGATGGTGCCGGACCATCAGGAGTCCCGGAGCATTGGATGCTGGACTAATGGAGTTTTACTGTACCGGGCTAGATGGACCTTTGATCTGAGGCAGTTTGGCCGTTCTTATGTTCCAGCTGCATCATTCTGTTAATGCCTGACCTGTATTCCTCCTCCAGATGATCTTACAGCTCATTTCACTTGAGCCCAGATAACCATAGCAGCATTGCTTGAAGAGGTGTAACTACAGGCAGTCCCCGGGTTACGTACAAGATAGGGACTGTAGGTTTGTTCTTAAGTTGAATCTGTATGTAAGTCGGAACTGACTCCAGATTCAGCCGCTGCTGAAACTGACCGCCAGTTCTGACTTACATACAGATTCAACTTAAGAACAAACCTACAGTCCCTATCTTGTACGTAACCCGGGGACTGCCTGTATTCTTGCTGTGGTAAGAATACAGTGATAAATACTATACCCATCCTGTGCCTCTCCCTTGGGACAAAGTAACTCTGGGTCTGACCCCTGGCAGGAGTGTTGGAGAAAAGGGGTGAGAGAGGTGTTACTAAAGTGGCTCTGTCTCACCTCAGGAATACTTTACACTTAAAGAACACAGGGCAGGGCTATAAAACCACCTTAAAATATGTCTGCACTGAAACACTATCACAAAACAACTAGCACTATTCCAAAATAACTTAGTCCACGCCCACACAGCAGGTAGTTACTTTGAAATAGTGTCAAAATATTGTTAAGCTGGAAGACTTCTTACTTGGACTCCTGTAACCCTCATTGTACGAGAAATAAAGAAAGTCAGAGGAAGAGTGCTCTGTTTCAAAGTAACTGCTGTGTAGATAGTGCCAAAAGTCAAAATAAGCTATTTCAACTTAAGCTACGCGATCAGCGTAGCTCAAGTTGTGTAGCTTATTTCAAGTTTAGCCCTGCTGTGCAGACATACCCTAAGAGTGGAACACAAAGGATAAGAAAGTCTCCATGTCCAAGGTCATAGGGTAGGTTGTAGTTCAAACAGGGGTATTTTTCTTATTTTATTTTTTGATTATAGTAAACATTTCACATTCTTGTTAAAGCCACTATTCCTTAAGGAACAGGCATGACTGCAACGAACGTTTTCTTCAGCGAATTGCTCTGCCAGCTTATGTTGTCTGTAGAGTGGCTACGAGACCTCCATCTATCCATTCACAAAACATGATATGCATTAGTTCGAGCATCCTCTGCACGTGTAGCTGGTGGGATGCAATATTACAAACATCTATACCTGCTGCTTCCCCATGCTCCTCTCCTCTTTAACTACTGCTTATCAATCACTCACGTGGAATACACATCCTGACCAGCAAAGATGGAAGTTTACTGACCTGCAGTGATGGTCCTTTGAGTTGTTGAATCCCTATCTCTGTTCCATGACCACCTTTCTTTTGATCTACTTCAGATTCTTCTGATTTGTGTTAAAAGAGGACCTAGATAAGCATCTGTCCATCCTGCTTCTTGTACCCTCAGTTTGGAACACACAGAAAACATCTTTGTGGGCATGGATCGGTGGACACTATTTGCTAGAAATCTAAGCTCAGGCACATTGTGCACAGTTTTACCCACATGTTGAATTCATATAGGAACCACACATCTTGAAGAACCTCCAGTTACAAGTCAACAACCTCCCTTTCTCGAAGAACAGGGATTTGCTTTTCTGAAATTCTAGCTAGCAGAGTGTTCTGGAGGCACTGATATACCACCATGCTGAATGTGATGTAAGAATGTGATATTCCGATATATTCATGCTTCTTTTAATTGCAGTGTCATACCAGTCGCACCTGTCACCCTTGTGCCTCAATTATATAATGACTAAAACAGATACCAGAAACTAAATCAGATACCAGAATATATATAAAAAAGGAAGAATAGGGATTTTTAAAGACTCCCATCTCCTGGGATTCCAAATCTTGAATCTGTACCTGTGGTCAGGGCCTGGTGAATTTCCACAGGATAAGCAAGAGGCTGCCCTGGTGCTCATGCTGATTACAGTCTGCAAAGGAGTGTCCTTGGGATGCACCTTCCTGACTTCCGTGGTTTGTTCTAATCAATGCACATTTGAAACTCCAGGCTAATAATTCTTTGGAATTACTGAAAGGAAAGTTTCTTGAGCTGAGCAAATTTTCACAGTTTTATTAAACCCACCAAAAAGTAGTTTGACAATAAACCGTGACAGACCCAGTATAAAAATCACCTACTGTTAAAAAAATGATTTTTTTTTATGGTTGTTCAGGGTGTTGTGCTCAATTCCTTCCTCCCTCATGCCCCAAAAAATGTTGGAAAGTGGGTTGACCTTTTTACTGTGTGTTTTCTGTACTAAATGCTAGTAATACTAATCATGATTACTTGCTCTAGCCTAGAAAAACAACATACCCGCTAAAATCTCCTGGAATAAGGCCCAATACTGGCAGACATGGTTCCACCTCTGGCACCTTGCGAGGTCACCCAACGCCATTGGAAAGGGAACCATGTAAAATAAGTTTCAGTAGGATCACTGAAGCAGAGCATGAATCAGCAGTATCAGCCCCAACTTCTCCAAATACGCCATCTACTCCACCAGTTTCTGCCTCTTCAGAGCTTAGTGTATTTTTAGATATTGATCTCAACAGTTCTTATGGTATGTATGTATTTTATTATATTTACTTTGGGGTTCATTTGCTGTTCTAATCCACCCTCTGTGTATGGTCCTCTTGTTCCTTAGTAAATGTTTTGTTATAGTAAGTAACACTAGGTTGTGTTAAACGTAATCTTATTTCTGTGTTCTTTTTCTGGTGTGCCTGTGAGTCTTTAGTCTTGGAAGAAATGCACATGGTGGTGTTAGTTCTTGGTTTTTACGAGGTTCTGTGTAGAGGGAGCTGTGCAAATACCTAGAGAGTTTGCGCTTTCCTTGGGTTTGAGTAGGGTTTATTCTTGTGTTGCTTCTTGGGATCCAAGCAAAGGTGTTGGGCTGTATTTCCTGAAAGGTGTCGCCTATCTGTTCAGGGACTGGCGTGGGGAGTGAGTGTGTGTATGTTTAAACAAAGTAAGTTATAGCCAGACCCTGTGTCACAGATTGCTACTCCTTGGCTATATCCATATAGCTGGGAGCATCAACAAGAACGTGCTATTTAAGATGGTGTGTCATCTTCATTGCAGTGCCAAAGCCAGTCTTAGTTATAGAAAAGACTCTGGTGTATTGGGTTTGATGTTGATGGGATATTCTCTTAATCAGAAAAGCAGCTTTGGAAATAAATTGGAAAGCTTTCTTGAGACAGGGGTGGAGGCAATTGGGAAAATACAGCAACCTTGAATTCCACTAAAAAGTTGGAACCCATAAGCACCTTTTCGGCAGAGTCTGTTACTGCTGGGAGTGGCATAGGATGTTGAGGCCTGACGTGGTGTACAGTGTTGCCAGTTGCTGAGGTTTTCTTGGGAAACTTGTTCCAAATACAGGCCTGCAATATTTGCCCTTTCTCCCACAAATGACACGAGTATTCATGAAAGTTACAAGCTCAGCCAGCAGTGTTTGTACCTGCTTCATCAGCACTATCGAATTGTGTTTCTACCTCTCTCCTCACCCATAGAAGCTATGCACCAAGTATGGAATGGAAGTCAACAGCTGATTTTGTCTGCAAAAGAATTTAAATGATGGGCCCTTTCTTCTCCACCCCCACCTCCCATTACAGCTGTCCCAAGCACTCCTGGGAATGTGGTTGTCACTGGGGTAATTCTGCTTGGTGCCCATTCAGTTCAGTCACCTGAGGAGGGTGACGTGCATTCAGGTGCAATTAACTCCTCTCCGGCTGGTCAGCATGACCTATGTACACTGACGCTTTATTTTGAGGGTTAAAGTAGGGCTTGAGCCGTGCATGGGTATTATGTTTGTTATCTTTGCTGCAGAGAAGTTCACCCTCAGTCCTTCTTCTCCCCATCAGTCTGGCTGCTCTGTGTTGCGCTGTCAGTGGTCAGCTGACCATTCACACGTGTTCTCCTGTTGACAAATTTGGGTGCCAGGATCCACAGGATACAACAAACTACCTTATGATACCTTCTGCATGGAATAGGATGGATGGATAATGGTTCTGATCACATATCACCATAAAACTAAACACCAGAAAGGGGATTGCATGACAGACTTGGGTAGCATGTGGCAAACAGTGAAGGCTCTGCAACCTCCAAGTAAAAAGTTACTGGGGGTGATTGATTGTTGGTGTCAAAATTCAGTTGTAATTTCCCAAGTTTATAATATTCAGTATATTTTAACTAACATTTTATCAATATTGTTTAAAAAGCAGTATATTCTCAACAATAGCTTTCAAAGTTTTTAGTCTAGAAATACCTACATGGTAAAGCATACCTAGTTTTAACAAAAGATTTGAGAGTACATCAGGGATATTTTAAAGCTATACTCCAGTACATACTGGTCTTTGGGATATTGTATAAACGGGTGAAATTGAAGAATACTGTTTTGGTGGCAATTTTTTTTTCTCTGATCCATTTTCCTTTTTAATTTTTAATAGGTAACAATAGCATCTTTGCTCCTGTCCATTTGCCACAGTCAAGTGAGTATCCTAACTCCTGCAGTTTGTCAATAGTCTTTCCATTTGCGGATATAAAAGTACATTTAGAAGAGCCTAAGAATAATTAAACTCTCTAATGCTTTCCATACCATTCAGGATAATCACAGATGGTATTTGCATGTGTAATGCATCTAATTTGCACTTGAGAGCAGTGCTGCAGCCACCTGTCCCTGCTCTTCCTCCTTACTTCCTCTAGAATAAAAGCTGGCATTTTTATTTGCCATTTGATTTTATGAAAATCTAGAATTGTAGAATACTATATGAAATTGGGGAAACAAATCCACTTAACATACTGAGCTGCAGCATGTATCTAATGGCAAGAAACAAGCTATAGCAGAAGCCATTGTTTTCTTCTGTAAATGGCTAACTTATTTTTCTGAATAAATCTTAAATTATCCCTTTTTTCCCCCTCAAAGGGGAAAGTTTGGAAACTTCTGAGGGAGATGAGAGAAGTTGTGGAAGTTGGAGTCTGATGTGCTAATTTTGTCTGCTCTATCATCTTTTTGCTGTGGAGTTTCAGCAGCAGCCCTGTAAACTCCGAATGTGAAACATGTAATCAGTTTTTGACGTGAGGATGTTTTCCATGCCAGTTTTTTATTTTAAACATATGCCAAAACCACATATACCACTGTATGCTTCCAGTTAGAAGCAATGAATTCTTCCTCATGGAAAATGCTTCCAAATGAAATGATTTTGTTGCCTACTATCTTATCAGGACTTTATTTTTTCATCTTCTAAATATAGAGAGCATGGAAAGACTGTCAAATTGAAGCATTCAATATTGCTTATTTCCTGTTGTATCAGTGTATATTGTACTTCAGACCAAAGTCTGCTTTATGAAATGCAGTGTCTGATTACAAAAATGACTGGTAATATAACTTCCTTCAGCTGGGTTGAACAGTGAAGAATGCTGTTGCATACCAATAATCTGTTTTATGCTGTGTTCTTATAGCCGTGTCAGTCCCAGGATACTAGAAATACCAGGGGGTGAGGTCATGTCTTTTATTGGACCAACTTCTCTCACCAACAGAAGTTGGTTCAGTAAAAGATATTACATCACCCACTTTGTGTCTTTTAGAAACTGTTAGTTTGCTTCTAATTTTGTCCAAAAATGGTCAGAATGTTTTACTTTTTGGTATTGTGCACTGCCTGAATCGGTCCCCTTGTCTTTATAGAATCTTTCTTCAGTTCATGTGGTAGTTTACATAAACTAAGTGAAGAGTTTCTGGTTCCTCCTCCACTTCCACCACGCAAAAAGTTTGATCAGGATGCTTCTAACTCTAAGGTGATTGTATGTGTGTTAATTAAAGCATCTTCGTAGTAAACGTATTGGTAGATTTGAGCAGCTTCCAAAACATTGGTCTTTGACATGCACTACATTGTTCTAATGTACCCAACTTTGTTAATCCTCAGATTTAATAATTCTCACAGAATAAGCAGAACCCTTGTCCTGTTATCCCCACTTCGTAGCAAAAATGCAATGAGAGCTAAAATGAGGTTTCATATTAAGATGATTTCACTACTCTTATAAAATACATGGCAACCCTAGTCAGAGTGCTATATGAAGTAGCATAACTAAACTACAAATAGACTACATGAATGCACTACACTATGAGGCATTATTCTATTTTGGGGAGGGGGGTGTACATGTGAGAGTGATTCTCATTTTAGGAGAAAAACTATTGCCGCTGGGGTTGTAACAGTTATTTTCTAGTAATCAGTGCTCTAAACTCCATGGTTTCACCTGATAAAGGCTAGACTTTGTCAGTTTTCAACCTTCATTCAGTGTATGTCAGAAAATTCATGATAAGAAATGTAAGGTTCTCAAGATGACTTCTTTTTCTTTATTTCAGGGAAGTTTAAAATCTGATGATGACCCTCCTGCTATTCCACCCAGGCAACCACCTCCTCCAAAGATACAGCCTAGAGTTCCTGCTTACAATAATCCATCTGATCAGCTGCTGCATAGTCCTCCTCCACCTCCCCCAAGAGACCCTCTTCCTGATACCCCTCCACCAGTACCACTTCGGCCTCCAGAACACTTCATAAACTGTCCATTTAATCTCCAGCCACCTCCTTTGGGGCGCTTTCACAGAGATCCAGATCGGTTCAGGGAAGCCAGCACATGCCCAAGCTCACCAAACACTCCTCCAAGCACACCCTCTCCAAGGATACTGCGTCGCTGCTATGCGCTCAGCTCGAGTCACAACAACCTTGCCCATCCTCCAGCTCCCCCAGTCCCACCAAGGCAAAATTCTAGCCCTCAATTACCAAAACTGCCACCAAAGACTTACAAAAGGGAGCTTTCCCATCCTCCTTTGGACAGACCATCTTTGCTAGAAAATGCAGACGCGCCTCAATGAACTTAGCCATATTAGTCATTGACACTGGAATAGTATTTGTAAAGTTCCTTTTTTATTTATTCAAAAAAGGCAGTGTATTTTAGTACTTTCACAAATAATGCTCTTACAAAGTGCTGCTGATCAAAAAAAAAAAAGTTTTTAAAAATTAGAAAAATAAGAATATTCACTCTAGTCTTTGTCTACTCCCGCAGCATTACCCTCAGGTGATCAGTAGCATTGTCTTGTCTCCGATCCTCAGTGCCGACAGTTATGCCAGTATAAAGATTATATATTTTGCACTGTAAACTACACTACATGAATTTAAACTGACATCAGTTCATTGCACTGAGCCAAAAAAGGTGCGTTTGTGGAATTTTTCAGATTTGAACACTAGTGGCCTTTTTTAAAAAAACAAACGGTGGAATCGCTATACAAGCATGAGGATGGGTAGTGTTGCTTATTTTAAACCTCTCTGGCTACTTGCCTTCTAATTTTGTGTAAATTTCGGAAGTTTGTGAATGACAACTACTGTTCTCAGAGTTTTAATGCCGTGTCTTAATATCCAGTCATTTGCTGCTGAAGATGAAAAAGAAAAGGAAAAAAAAAAGAGGGAGGGGGAGGGAGGGTTGAAAATCTAAACCTGAAGATATCAGAATGCACTATTAGTTTTGGTTATTTTGACAAAGTATAACCTAGGACTACCTAACCCATTTATTGGAAAGAATCCCTAGTATTTAGCATGCATCTTGTTCAGATGTGCCTTTTTGTTTTGGCAGGCAAAGGTGTCTTAAGCTAAAGAGTTGCCTACTGTTTTGGAGAACAAAGCTATATGCCATGTATGTACAGCTGTTTATATTGTATATTTACAGATAATGCTAATAACCTGTATAAATTTAAGTGACTTGAGGCCTGTAATACAGTCTGCTACTCTTGCAATCTTAAACATTCAGAAGTATTTCCGATGGCTTAGGAACAAAGTATTGCCTTCCAAACCTAATCATGTTCTTTAGATCTAACTGCATTTAAGTATGAATTCCCTTTTGGAAATTGGTAGCATTTAGACCAGCAAACACTTAAAGCTTTATTAAACTTTTTAAACTGAAAAGTGAATGGAACTTTCTTTGCCAGTTGAACTACTTATTGTTTGAACTGGTGTTTTACTGGTAGTACTGTAGCAGAATTTGTAAAGTGGTCAAAACCACATTTTATTTACTGGTCTGTGGCCTTTTACTGTGCTTTGTATCAGAGTTCTTAACAAGATTAATAAATCATCCCAGTCTTAATTTTTAAGTGAGTGATTACTGTGTGTTCCTTGTAAGGGAGGGGGGAGAGAGGAATACAATATCTGCCAGAATGTGCAAGATTCTTCTATCATGCCACTTCTGCTTAAGCTTACAACTGAGTTGTCTTCCTATCTGCAGTTAGTTGGCCCATATCAAAGCTGTTAGAAAAGACCTCAGGCAGACAAGTCAGACCCATCAGGCAACCCACCAAAAAATCTTTACCCCTTTCAGTAGAAAAGTTACAACATTGTAAGGGAGAACGTTACAGAAGTGGTTCCTTTATAAAAAAAAAAAAAAGGTCAAGAAGAACCAAACAAAACTGAAGATGCACAATCTCTTTTTAAAACCCCCAAACTCTCTCCCTTTCCCCTCCTCCTAGTCCAGCTCTTCCTTTGAGGAAGGATGCGAGTTTTATATGGATAAATATTAGGGTCAGAAGAGATCATTATGATTTACGCTGACCTGCATAACAGAGGTCATAGGAATTCATGCAGTAATTCATCAAACTCATAACTTCCAGGATACAGTCTGGCCGGCTCTGAATTAGAGCATAGTTATCAACTGGAGCTGAACACTCCAACTAAGAGAAATTAGAAAAGATTTTCTCTGAATTGTTTTATCACCATACCTAGGTGTGTCATCAGTAATGTTGGAAAGCTGGGCTATAAATCTGGCAAAATCCCTACACTTGGTCAATTCAAGGGTAAGTTTACTAGTCCATTTTTCTTTCAAGGATGTTACTTTAAGTAGGACTATCTAGACAATTTTAAGGAGCAAGCAGTCCTCTCATTCTAGAAGCTAGGAGAACCTAATAACTTCTTGCTTTGTATACCTAAAAGCGGTGTTAAAGTAGTGCCTCTAGACAAGAAGATTATCCCATCAAAGAAGGATATCTTCCTGTATGCACCCAGTGGCAGAGGTATTGGCTCCCCCAGCACCGGCTCTCCTTGCTTCCCCCCTGGGTCTATTGAATAGTTGTGTAACCGCTAAGATTTCATGCAGTTACACCACTGTTCAATTACACGATATCTAACATCCCTAGTTTGAGTTACATGAGTAGTGTAACTCAAGTCAATGTAGTTTAGATCTACTTACTGCAGGCTCCACACCATGCTTGGTTCACAGAAGAAACTCTCCAGTTGACTCCCCTAATTCGTCCTGGTGGAGTACTGGAATCGACAGGAGAGTGATTGGTGGTCAGTTTAGCAGGTCTTTACAAGACCTACTAAATCCATCCTCAGTGGATGAATTGCCACAGCATTAATCCACATCATAGTGGAGACATAGCCTGAGTAATTTTTAACTTGTTCTTTTCCTATTCTATCTTCTGATCCTATCCCATTTTTACTGGCCTTCACTATGCTAGGCATCCAACAACCTTTGTGGTGAAAACCGAAACAAAGAAGACATTAAACACCTCTGCTACTTCCACATTTTCTATTATTGTTTTTCCTCCTTCATTGAGTAACAGCTCTACCCTGTCCTGTTGTGTTCCTCTTGCTTCTAATGTATTTGCAGAATTTATTCTTGCCCTTTATGTCTATCTAGTTTGATCTCATTTTGTGCCTTGGCCTGTCTAATCGTGCCCCTACATATTTGTATTACTTGTTTGTTTTTTCTTTCTAATTTGACCTAGTTTCCATTTTTTGTAGGATTCTTCTTTGATTTGTAGATTGTTAAAGACCTTGTGGTAAGCCAAGGTGGTCTTTTGTCAGACTTCCTATCTTATTCAGTGTAATAGTTTGCTCCCATGCTCTTAATAATGTCTCTTTGAAAAACTACCAACTGTCTTCAATTGTTTTTCCTCTGAGACTTGCTTCACATGGTATTTTACCAACCAACTCCCTGAGTTTGCTAATGTCTGCCTGTGACGGCGCGTTGGGGGTCCCCCGTCTCCTGCAGCCCGAAATGGCACAAACAGACTGCACCAGCCGGTGAAATAGAGGAAGTTTATTGCCTCTCCAGGATACAGCACAGCACAGATGTAATCTGGTCACAGAGCTGGGCTAGGATGCCTCAGGCTCCCTTGAGATGGGGGAGACTGGGCCCCTAAACTCCAGCCCCTTTCCCTAGGCTGTCTCCTCCATGCTCCCAGACAGCAACCAACCCCCCCTCTTCCAGCCCTGCCCCCCAGCCAGGGCAGCATCCACCTTCCTTTGTTCCTCTCCATGGGGGGTGTCTGGTTCAACAGGTTTGGCATCACCTTTGCATAATGAGGTTTTCCCTGCTGGGTCTTGCTCCAGACAGCAGAGGTCACCACAGCCCAGCAAGTACCCCCACTACGTCACACTGCCGCTTTGCAATCCATTGCCTTTATGTTGCTGTTTTCCCTCTTGCCGTTCCTTAGAATCACGAACTCTACCATTTCACAATCGCTTTCATCTAAGCTGCCTTCCACTTTCAAATTCTCATTCAGTTCCTCCCTATTTTTCAGAACCAAATCTACAACAGCCTTTTTCCTAATAGCTATCTCCATCTTCTGAAGTAAAACGTTGTCTCCAGTACATTCCAAAAACTTGTTGGATAACCTATGCTCTGCTGTGTTATTTTCCCAACAGATGTCTGGGTAATTGACGTCTGCCATCACTGCCAAGTCCTGTGCTTTGGATTATTTTGTTAATTGTTTAAAAAAAGCCTCAATTACCTCTTCCTGGTTTGGTGGACTATAATAGACATCTGCAATGACATCATCCTTGGTGTTTTTACCCCCTTTATCCTTACCCAGAAATATATATGTGGTCTATGTCCATCTCAACCTCAGTCCAAGGGTCACCCCTTTTGTACCTAGTTTAAAGCCCTCACTACATTAGCCAGTCTGTATCCAAATATGCTCTTCCCACCCTTAGTAGGTGGACCCCATTTCTACTTAGCAGTCCTTCTTCTGGGAAGAACATCCTATGATCAAGGAATCCAAAGCCCTCCTAGTTACACTATTTTCGAAGCCAGACATTCATCTCCGGGATGCAGTCCATAGCTTCTTCCTCCCCCACCACTTGCAGACCTTTCTTGCAGCATGCAAAGGCTTCTGCCAGGAAAGCCCTGGTAAGAGGACCAGTCTTGTTAGCACTGAAGAGGTCATGCTGCTGGAATTTCTTGAGACTACTGGGTAGGGTATCTGCATGCCATTCAGTGGTGCCTGAAGGTCCGCATCTTGTTTCTCCCTGTGCTCCTTACACTGAATGATGCTGTCAGACTTTCCAATGGCTGACAGCCTTCAGAAGGGTTGAACGCCTTCCTCTGTTCTGCCCCCATTTGACTGGCTTTCTGTTTCAGCATCAGCCCAAGGAGTCGAGCCCTTTGGGCAAGCTTAGGCTGAAATCAGCGCCACAGAATTTCACCTGTTTCCTTTCCACTGCACTTGATTCTTGCAATGTTGGTTTATGCTGCTCCCTGTAGACCTGGCTTAACTGACACGAGGAGGCCCATGTTAAGACTAGACATCCTGAAAAAGTAATTGCTGAACAAGCCAAACAAGTAATTAGTGAAAGAACTACATAATGTGAACATGCATCTGACGAAGTGGGTCTTTGCCCACGAAAGCTTATGCTCCAATAAATGTTAGTCTATAAGGTGTCACAGGACTTCTGGTTGTTTATGATGTGAACATGTTTATAGTAAACAAGGGAGGCAGAAACTAATGATTGAGGGTATGTTTATAGAAAACAAAGTCTGCAAAAACATCCTGCACAATGCTTGGTCTTAACATCCATACTTCTTGCATGTAAGGAGCTAGAAAAGATGTCAAGTCAACTGTGTGGTGTGACACAGGAATAGGAATTGGAATTGTGGTATTGCCCTGAACCTAAGCCCCTGGTTCTGACCAGCATGGGCAAAGAATGATGACATGCCTAATAAAGTAACCTGGTGACAAGATGGAGTCGGACTGAGTGTTTTGGATGTCAGAGAACTGGGGGAAGTATTCTCCCAACGTCAAGTGGAAAAGTTTCAGTGGGAATTCCAACATTCCCAAGCTCCTGTAAAATGTTATAGCTATTCTGGAAAAAAACCAGGCTTTGAGACACCAAACCTCTCGGTCACTCTGGCCGGGCTCGTGAAGGGTCTCCAGGCACTGAATTTCATCAGTGAGAGAGAGGTCCATGTTTGGAAGCTGTGATGCACAGAGGAAGCACTCAGCTATGCGTGCTGAGAGCCAGGAAACTGATTTCAGGTAGGAACTCTCCTCTAAGTGTGTTGGCTGTGAGACCTGGGGATGAAGCGGGTTGGTGCAGTGGCAGTAGGGGTTGGCTCTGCCGAACATGAACAAGAGGTGGCTACCATCCCTTTGTCTGCAGTAGATACCCTGAATTACTTCCACTCCAGTAATGCAGTTGACGTGTACAGCTACCAGCAACTATGTGCTATGAGTCAACAACTAGGAAATAGGAGAAAATGTGGAATGAAGTAAGATTTGAGAGCAGATGGGAAAGATAGTCCAGTGGTCAAGGCACTAGGAGCACTAGGACTTAGAAGCTCCTGGTTCAATACCCTATGCTGCCACAGATTTTCTTTCTGACCTTGGGCATGTCACTCAGTGCCTTTGACTTTCTGTAGAAGGGGGTTAATAGCAACACTTCCTCTGCAGGGGTGTTATGGGGATAAAAACAGAGTGAGAGCTGCAGTAAGGGGGACTGTACAATAACTAGGAGGCATCCAGGTAAAAAGTTTGACCAACAAATTACAACTGACGCAATTATCGCAGGGGTAGCCATGCTAGTCGAGCTGCAAAAACAACGAGGCAGCCTGTGGCACCTTAAAGACTAACAGAATTATTTGGGCATCAGCTATTGTGGGCAAAAACCCCACGGCATCGGAGGCAGGGATACAGTTAGGGGCATGAGCCCAATGGTAGAGGGGAGGGGAAGGGAATGGGGGACCGTCTGGGGTTAGGTGAGGGGGGCAGTGTCTGGCACCCAGGAAGGGCAGGGGCGCTGTGCTGGTGGTAGGAGGGGATGGGGGACCGTCTGGGGTTAGGTGAGGGGGGCAGTGTCTGGCACCCAGGAAGGGCAGGGGCGCTGTGCTGGTGGTAGAAGGGGTGTGCACAGGGCACCATGGGTATTGCAGTTGGGACAGGTGCTACCACCCCTCCGGTGAAGGGGACGGGAGAGCGGCAGGGCAGTGTCTGGAGCGGGGCAGCTGGACGGGCAGTGGAGGGAGAGTGCAGGAGGTACCAGCAGAGGGGAGAGGGGGGCAGTGTCTGGCACTCAGGAAGGGCAGGGGCGCTGTGCTGGTGGTAGAAGGGGTGTGCACAGGGCACCATGGGTATTGCAGTTGGGACAGGTGCTACCACCCCTCCGGTGAAGGGGACGGGAGAGCGGCAGGGCAGTGTCTGGAGCGGGGCAGCTGGACGGGCAGTGGAGGGAGAGTGCAGGAGGTACCAGCAGAGGGGAGGGGGTCGCAGTGGGGGCAGGACCCCCCCAGCAGAGGGTCACAGTGCGGGCAGGACACACCTACCCCAGCAGAGGGGAGGGATGGGCAGGGG